AAATGTATAAATATTTAATTTTTTTTTGTGTGTGTGTGTGGTGCTGGGGATTGAACCCATGGCCTTGTGCATGTGAGATAAGCACTATACCAACTGAGCTATATCCCCAACCCTGAACATTTAAATTTTTGTTTTACTTTTGTTCACTTAAAGTTGTTTCATAAGTAGTTTTCTTATCACAAGTCCTACCTTTTAAAACTGTAATCCCTTCATGTAGAGAGGGCATAATTGGCTTAATTATTCCTCTAGTGTTGAACATTTAAAAAACTGCCTTTTGTGGGGAGGGCTAGGGAAATTGTTAGAAATATTTTAAATAAAGACCTCTTTCTTTCAAATTATTTCTCTAAAAACAAACTTCTGATAATGTGTATGATGGGGGAAAAGGAGTTTACAGTTTATATTGTTAAAATGTATACAATATGATTCCAGTAACATTGCCTGATCTCAAGACTTATTAAAAGTTATAGGAGCTGGGGTTGTGGCTTAGTGGTAGAGCACTTGCCTAGCMTGTGTGAGGCACTGGGTTCAATTCTCAGCACTGCATATAAATAAATGAACAAAATAAAGGCTYGTAAATRTMTAAAAAATATTTTTWAAAAAACTTATAGTAATCAAGAYAATATGGAACTGGTGCAAAGAWGAACAAATAGATTAATGGAACTGAATAGGAGTTCAGAAATAGACCTCCACATATATGGACAATTGGTTTTTTACAAAGCTGCAAAGACAATACACTAGAGAAAGAATATTTTTTTTCAATAAAATGATGCTAAGACAACCTGGAATTTACATTAAAAATGAATTTCAATTCACATTTTATGCAATCTACAAAACTTAAAATGTAAAACCTTTAGCTATGAAACTTCTAGAAGTGAGCATAGGAGAAATAGTTCAAACCTTAGAGTTAGGCAAAGATTTCTCAGAAATAATACCAAAGCATAAGCCATAAAAGAACAAATTGATAAATGGGACTCTTCATCAGAATATCAAACCTCAGCTCTTAGTAAAAGACAGTTAAGATAATGAACAAAGTGCTTGCCTTGCACTTATGAGATACTGAGTTCAATCCTTAGCACCACATTAAAAATAAATAAATAAAGGTATTGTGTCCATAAGAAAAAAAAATATAATGAAACATGAGCCACAGATTTGGGAAAAATTCCTTTAAATCAAATATCTGATAAAGAGCATATGCTCAAAATATGGAAAGAACTTGCAAAAATACAATAATGAAAAATAACAAAAAAACAAAGTAAAAGACACTATACCAAAAAAGATATACAGATGGTAAATAAATATGCAAAAGCATTGGCAATGTCATTAGGGAAGTACAAATTTAAATTCCAATGAGATATCACTGCATTCTTATTAAAATGGCCAAAATGAAAAAGACTGACCAGAGCCAGTGTGGAGGGCCTCGGCTCCCCATGTTAGCAGTAGTACTACCAAACCTCAGTCCTTGTCTCCATTGCCAATCCAATAACAAGGACATGGTTTTGAGAAAAAGGAAAATGAAGTTTATTGCTTTGCTAGTGAAGGAGAAACACAGGAGACTCCTGTCCCAGAGGCCATGATTCTGCCCATCAGGGGGAACAGGGGGCTTATAAAGAAGTGATTCAAAGGCTACATTCCACATGTTCTGAGTTGTAATTCACTTGTTAATTTGGGAGACAGTCATTTCTGAGAGGTTCTGGTGCCATCCCTAAAGTCTGAATTACTTCTTTCCTGTAGTGGGTGTGAGTTTAAGGACAGATAACTCTGCCTAGAATGGGCGGGGCTGGGGGGTGGGGAGGTAATCCTGTTTCCCCTGAGATTAGGGTGGTGGAGAGCAGGGAGAGAAGAAGAAAAAGAAACATGTCCATTTAAAAAATAAATCACAGGGGCAGAGCAGCAAGCATCAAAGCATAAAGTGGACTTCTGTTACAGTAGTTCTCAGACTGAGTCACTTCATTTCATAAAGTAATAGTTTGCCAGTTACTCCATTTGGAGTTTACGTGCTGAGGTAGAATGACTCTACACCTTGTTTATACAAGTAAACAATTACTAWCTGCCTAGCATAAATGTAAGACATAGTGATAAAAATCATGCTATAAAAATGACCATYTATGAACATAGCAAATGAATCAGAAGCACATGAATGCATGGGAGTATCACTCACATAGAAAAAACCAGACCCATGAACTTACAGAGTGCACCAGACCATCCAATGAAGCAATCCTTCACCCAAAGTCCAGGAAAGGGAGAGCACCCCAAGACTAGACACAGGGGCACATTGACCCTGTCACCTGGTCACTTGGTACCAGCCTGGCCCATGAAAATCATCAGGGTGCAGTTTGTCCTAACCATGAAAACACACATAGCCCCCTGCAAGCTTGTATCTGGCCTGGAGTAAGCTCCTGTGTTTGACAGCTCTGTTTACGGAATAAGTTATTCAGCTGGGGCTGGTTGTAGTCCTATCCAACCATCTATAACAACTCTCGTTTGCGCTTGTATCTGCTTTCTGCTTTGCTCTTAGTTCAGGCTCTTGAACCCATATGGCTGCCTTAACCCTTTCTTAGACTTTCTGTAATTTATTTATATATATATATATATATATATATATATATATTTTATATTATATAATATATAAATATTTAGTTTATATATATATATATATATATATATATATATATATATATATATATTATATAATATATAATATATTATATAATATATAAATATATGTATTTGTGTAAAGTATGATGTATGATTTGAATGTTTAAGGTATTAGTAATTAAGACCCACAATATTTGGGGAATTGCCAAATAATGAAAGTGGTCTACCCTGTGAATTTATTGTTATTCAATAATTTCTGACATTGTAGAAAGCCCTCATTACTGTTTTTTTAAATTGTTTTTAGTTGTTGATTGACCTTTATTTAGTTACTTCTATGTGGTGCTGAGAATCGAACCCAGTGCCTCATACATGCTAGGTAGGCATTCTATCAACTGAGCCACAAACCTAGCCCTCTGTTTTAATGATCCTTCTGAGTGATTTTGATGCAGGCTAAAGAACCACTGATATAATAAATGCTGTTAAATCCTACATATCTACTGTCAATYAACCAGTTATAATCAAATTAAGTAGCTTTTAACATTTAATGGATGACCCTTTCTGGAAACATTTCCAGAAACATTTCCTAGTTCTGAAAGAAAAAATTCTATCTATTGTATCTATTGAGTGGGTTATATGTGGCATGGAAATTTTCCACTGGACTGTGCACACATTTGGGGAGTTACTTTGACTTTTGGTATAGTGAAGTGCCAGTTTGACAAACAAAGTGGTTATTTACCTGATAGTATCCTATTCTTAGTAACTTGAAGGATTCAAGAAAAATCCTCTAGAGTCAACTTCCTTGTATTTAAGAAAGAATTGTGCATTGGGAGACTGGTTTATGTTTTACAAATTTGCACAATAAGCTTAGAGTAGAAAGTGGCCATTGTGTTAAGACAAATAAGGCAATCTTCATGTGAATTAAAGCTAAGAAACAATTTTCAAGTTCAAAAGTGCCTTTTCACCTGTTTTCTATTACCTGGGGCATCATTTGTTCATTTATCCAAGAGCATAAGCCAGATCAAGAGCCCAGCTCCCATCTGGGGGGGGTTCTGATCTAGCAATAGGTAAATTATACAGTGGTCATGTGACTGCCTGGGGCCTGGGGCCTGGAAGTTGAACACCCCAGCTTTGGAAACCATGGAAACTTTAGCTGAGAAGGGAAGGATGGAGCAATGAAAGTGGCCCCTAATTGAATAGACCCTAGTTGTCTGGACTAAGCCATGGCACTCTAAGGGAGATGACTCTGGCACTGGGCCTTGGTGGGCATGTCACAGGAGATATCTCGGGAGAAGGATTCTGAGGAGTTCCCACAGGAGACGGGGAACTGACCTCAGGACCAGCAGAGTTCTTGGCATACAGGACAGAAAAGAATTTCAGTGTGAGACAGAGAAAGGCATAGACACAAGTTTATTTAGGAGATAGATACCCATTCAAGGGAGAATGGGGGCTGTCTCAAGAGTGAGAAGCCCTGATTTGTTGTGAGGGTCCAATATTTATAGAAGGGCTGTGTCAGGGGCTGGACTGGAGGTGGATCCAGGGTGGAGCTGCACAATTTCATGCCAGTTTTCCCTGCGCTTGCCTATTTCCCTCATTTCACAAGGGCCTGGGCCAAGCTTTACAACCATGATTTCTGTATCTCTGTGGCTCGTGGGCATTTCCTTTAAGATTTTCAGTATTTCTCTCTTTATCGTAAATCCCTATCTCAATTACAGAAGCCTCCCAAAATGATGGAGGGTGAATTTCTATCAATTTTTTTTAGTAATCAAGGAAATTAATCAGATTGAATTTAATTTAGAAAAAACAAAGAAACATGATATTCCTTGTACCCTAGTGTTACAGAGCAAATCCAAACAGGCTTCTATGAACCTGTCTATATATAAAATTCAAATGTTTACATTAAATATTCTCCTTTAATTTCTCTCTCTGTCTCCTGCAAAACTTGGGAAACACTTTATTTGAAATAGTGATTATTTACAAATTACAAACCTGTTCAGTTTCCATATCTGTGACAGATATGTCAGTTTTCGTGGGAACCACTTTTCTCTTCATCTTTTTCTTTTTTTTAAAAAAAGACACATTTATTCAGCGTCATGATCAGACTATTACATTTAGCAATCAATAGCATGGGTGCAAAAAAAAAAAGTCTACATTAAAACTCTTTGTTGGAATGCTTTACACTTTCCACAGAACAGAAACTAAAATAACCTGTTATACAATTAGTCACAAATACAGTCCTCGAGTTTTTTTGCCCATACACATGAGTATTGTCTAAACCATGTCTTCTTTGTAGCAGCTAGGCCCTGCCACCACTGTGCTTGGCTGAGTTCTCAAATCTGTTGTAACCTGTAGCTTCCCTGTCACTTCTCTGGCTCTCCTCTCCTGCTAAGCTTTGTTTCCTGGCAGGATTAAAACCTTCTGCCACTGCCAGAGCTACTGCTGCTGCTGGAACCGCCATAGCCACCTTGGTTTCGTGGTTTGGCAAAATATTGGCCTCCACCACCGTAAAGTCCAGAGCTTCTGCCTCCAAAGTTTCCACCCTTCATGGCTCCAAAATTTGATGTCTGATTGTTGTAACTGCCAAAATCATTGTAGCTTCCACCACCTCCAAAATTGCTTCCACCATTACCAAATCCATTGTAGCCATCTCCGCTGCCACCATATCCACCACCACGACTGCCACCAAAGCCACCACGACCACTGAAGTTCCCTCCACGACCGAAATTGTCATTTCCACCAAAACCACCTCCACGACCACCACCGAAGTTTCCAGAACCACTTCGACCTCTTTGRCTAGATGAGGCACTAGCCATCTCTTGCTTTGACAGGGCTTTCCTCMCTTCACAGTTGTGGCCATTCACAGTATGGTATTTCTGAATGACAATCTTATCCACAGAGTCATGGTCATCAAAAGTTACAAAAGCAAAGCCCCTTTTCTTTCCACTGCCTCGGTCAGTCATGATTTCAATAACTTCAATTTTCCCATACTGTTCAAAATCATCTCGTAGGTGATGTTCTTCAGTGTCTTCTTTAATGCCACCAACAAAGATCTTTTTCACAGTTAAGTGGGCCCCTGGTCTTTGAGAATCTTCTCGTGAGACAGCTCTCTTTGGTTCCACAACYMTWCCATCCACTTTGTGTGGTCTTGCATTCATGGCTGCATCCACTTCCTCCACAGTGGCATAAGTGACAAACCCAAAGCCTCTGGAGCGCTTGGTGTTTGGATCTCTCATTACCACCCAATCCGTGAGTGTTCCTCATTGCTCAAAATGGCTTCTCAGACTCTCATCAGTTGTTTCAAAGCTCAGCCCTCCGATGAATAGCTTCCGCAGCTGTTCGGGCTCTTTAGGGGACTCTGATTTAGACATGACGGCAGCAGGAAGACAGACTTTAACGATGCTTTCTCRGCGCCGTCCACGGGCAGAAAGGAGTAAGCTAACGAATGTATCCCCTCTTCATCTTTTACTTTGCTGTATGATTTTTTTTTAAAAAAAAAACAGTGAGGTGTACATTGAAATGGAAATGTATTAACAACAAAACAGGGAAGAAAGGCGGCATTGGAAGGAATTGAGTTGTTTCCCTTTTCCATCCACTTACTCCCTGTGTTTCTGGAACTTGAGCACTGAAGGCTGGAGAGTGGGCTSGTCATTAAGTGGGAACTCATGATGAATTCGATGGAATCCTCTAGATTCATTCCCTATTAGGACAGGTGTATTTGGTCTACTTCCTTTGAAAATTTTCAAAGTAAACCAAGTCATATGCAGATATGACTCATGATGTCTTGTGATGATTCAATTGACAGTTGCTCAATGGTTCAAGTGTTCAACCATGGTGCAGAAGTAATACACATTCAAGTAGAAACAGTACTTCAGATTTTGGATTTTGCTCTTTCCCTAGGCTAGCAATAGGCTGTATGATCTGCTCTGGTGATGCCAGGCAGTGGCAGTACGCCACAGCTCTCAGCCACGTGATCTTGAGGGGACACAACTGACATTCCACAATATGCCCTGTCACTAGCATTAATATGTGGTTTTGTGTTTCCTTGTTTACAGAACATCCATCTGTGGAGTACAGGAGAGATTCAACACTTCATTATAAAATAGGCTTTGTGTAGGATGATTTCACCAACTGTTGGCTAATGCAAATGTTGGGAGCACATTTAAGGTAGGTGAGGGTAAACTGTGATGCTTGGTAGTTGGGCAGATTAAACTTTTTTTGTACCAAGGATTGAACCCAGGGGCGCTTAACCTGAGCCACATGCCCAGCCCTTTTTTCTGTATTTTATTTAGAGACAGGGTCTCACTAAATTGCTTAGGGCTTTCTAAGTTGTGCTGAGACTGGCTTCAAACACAATCCCCCTGCCTCAGCCTCCCACGTTGCTAGGATTACAGGCATGCACCACCATGACCAGCTTAAATGCGTTTTGACTTACAACATTTTAAATTTGCAATGGGGTTATGGACACAAACCCCACCATAAATCTCAGAACCCCTCAATAACTTACTTAGAGTAAAATCCAAAGTCCTTTCCAGGTATGGTAGTTAGAATAAGCTCCCAAAGAGGTGTACTTCTTGCTATTGTGGCCCAATATACAGATTACAAAATTGATCATTTTAATCATTTTTTTAGTGTACAGGTCTGTAGTATATGTACCTTCACACTGTTGTGTCACTGTTGCCACCATCAGTTTCCAGAACATCTCATCTCACAGTGAAATTCCACGTCCCCATGCTCCCCTCCTACCCCCCGCCCCCCCATTCTACTTCTGTCTCTTTAACTATTCTAGGTTTCTCATGTAAGTGGGATCACACAGTATTTGTCCTTTGTGACTGTCCTCTTTCACTTGGCATAATGTCTTTAAGTTTCATCCATGTTGTARCATGTATCTGAATTTCCTTCCTTTTTAAGATTGAATAATATCTATTGTATGCATATAAAACATTTTGTTTTTCCATTYATCAATTGACGGACATTTATGTTGCTTCCACCTTTTGGCTATTATGATTAGTGTTGCTATGAAATAGGGGTACAAATATCTATCCAAGGCCTGCTCTTGGTTCCTGTGTGTGTGTGTGTGTGTGTGTGTGTATCCAGAATTGGAATTGCTGGATCATATAATGATTCTGTTTAATTTTTTGAAGATCCACCATACTGATTTCCACAGCAGTTGTACCATTTTTACATTCACAGAAGTAATGGGCCAGGGTTTCAATTTCTCTACATTTTCACCAACACTTTATTTTCTGTGATTTTGATATAGCCATCCAAATGCATATGGAATGGTGTCTTGTTTTCATTATGATCATGCCTTCRGGATGTAAATCTTCCATTGTTTATAGTTTAGTGTTCAGCCACGATTGTGAGTCTTTTGTATCTTCAGCATATTAAGCATGGGTAATGGAATAACTGAATGTGATAGCTCCATTATCTGGATCCCCTGTGGGTCTGTTTCTATGTCAGGTTTTTCTTTTGGTTTTCATTCATGTTGTCAGCCAGGTGGTTTTTATTTTTATTGAATACTGGGCCTTATATCTGAAACACATACACTCTCTCTCTCTCTCTCTCTCTCTCTCACACACACACACACACACACACATACACACAAATCACCGAGCCATATTCCTAGCCCGTTTTACTTTTTATTTAAGATAGGTCTTGTAAGTGGCTTAGGACCTCAATAAGTTTGCTGAGGCTGGCTTTGAATTTATAATCCGTAGGATTACGTATGTGCTCCACCATTCCCAGCTAATACAGCAATATTCTGAAGCTTAAGATGATGATACCTTCCTCAGAGCAGTAGGGCTAGGGGCATTAGCAGTCCAAACTTGCCCCAATCCAGTTTCAGTGACTGAAATGATCCAAAGCTGGGCTCCTATTTCTGCAGGGATGCGTCTGGTTCTCATTCATCCTTCTCCAAGGATAACATTTTTGGGTCTCAAATTTAAAACAAGATTGGAGGAGTGACCAGGTGTCCCAACCTGTTGCATCCCTTAGACTCTATTTTTTATCCCCCTACTTCTAAATATTGTTCAGAAGCACAGTTCCATTTCTCAGCTTCTTAAGACATCACTCTTATAGTTTTCTACAGACAGAAATTAGCCCAAACTCTGGGTATTCTTCACTGGATTTCCATCTTCTCCCAGATCTTGGCCTCATAAYTCTATTTCCTTGTTATGCCTCTCATAACTTGTAGTGTTTACCCAAAKTTTTGGCTCACCCTTGGTGGATATGTAGTCCAAATTAGCTAGTAACCATTTCCTCCAATTTCTTCTTTTTCATAGAKTTAGATGTAGCTATTCTGAATTTTTACCATATCCAAGACATTCGTCTTTTCCCTTACTATTGTCAATTTACCTTAGAGRCTAATAGAAGATAGTTAAAAAGAGTGTATATAGATCCAAATACCACCATTCSTTTCCTGTCTTGTCACTTTTCCCTGGTTACAAGATAAAGGATTAACATCYGACATCTCTGATATTGGTGAATAAGAGCATTAASAAGGGCTGGGGTTGTAGCTCAGTGATGGAGCGCTTGYCTAGCATGTGTGAGGCACTTGGTTTGATTCTCAGCACCACATAAAAATAAATAGATAAAATAAAGATATTGTGCCCTTCTAAAACTTGAAAAAAATAGAAAATATTTTTTTAAAAAAGCATTAAGAAGCACCTTACAATCAAAGGCATAGATGATATACAGAAGAGAAAGTAAAAATTGTAAACAAGTGATGAGCTTTACAAYTGAATTGTAATCTAAGACATGAAAATGGAAATAATAACAAGATATGCTTTTGCATCTGTAAATTTGAACACTTTTTTTTGAAAACACAAAGTTCAGTGCAAATGAGGTCATGAGAAAGATTAGTTGCTAATGGYATTGTAGGTTAGTAGAACTGAATAAAATTTAACAATACGCATCAAGGGTGATATAAAGGTAAACAACTCTTCCCCTATTCCACATAGTCCTATGGGTGAATTTTGGGAAAAATAATTTGATAGAAAGAGAACATTAGTTCATTAGAGGTATTTTATAATAAAATTTAACCAGAAAAAAAATGTGTATGTCTTAAATGTTCAACTCCAGAGAGCTGATCAAGTCAACGATCAGCTGCAYGATGGCATTACACAGTCGTTGAAGATAAAACATCAGAAGAAAAGAACTTATGGAGTAACATCAAATGAAAAAGAGAAGACAAATTATATTTTTATGTGTTTGTTGAAATATAAAATCAAATGAAAGTAGGATACAAATCTGAGAGTACATCATCTGTGATCACASCCACCTGAGAATGGTGCATATGGAGCTGGGAGGGAAAAGTTGTTCCTTGCAGAAGCCGGAGAGAGATGTCCTCAGAAAATGAGCCATTSGGGGGCTGGGGATATAGCTCAGTTGTATGCACAAGGCCCTGGGTTCAATCCCTAGCATCACAAGAAAAAAAAAAAAAATCCCAACAGAAAGTGAGCCAATTTTGSTTTGCCAAATATTTTCTAGACCCTCATGGTTGTAGCAATCTAGAGCATGGGGCTAGCCTGGCTTAGGGCCAAGGACAAGTAATTCAACATTGCTCTCCAAAAGACAGACAGATAGACACATTTTTAATTTCCTGGAGCAAGCAAAGGTAGAAATAGGCTGGTAGAGAGGAATGGTGAGATCAGAAGGAAAGGTAGGCAGAAGCAGGGAGGTGCGCTGGTGAGGGGGGCGTGGTGGGGGGTTCAAGAGAAGAAATGACCTATGAGAATGTTCTAAGAACAACCATGAAGCAGAAATTCAGGTGGAAGTTGGGGGTGTGGGGGAAATGTGCCCAGAAACCCGGAAAATTTGGAACAACCAGGAGGCTGACCTTTGGGTTATAGCTAAAGACTWGAAGATAAAAAGAAGAACAGAAAATAGCTACTTTGTTAAAGTCATAAAATAWAACTGAAAGTTTAAAGTTTAATTTTTATTTTTTCAGGGACAAAACCATTCTCTTGCTTAGAAAGGCTTTAGAGAAACTTTAGCAACCGGAAGTGTCAAGTGTTTACTCAAAATTCTTTTTTTCCATGAAGTTCTTAGCCTTTCTCTGACTTTTCAGACTTTGGTTCTTCCTTATGTATCTTTCAATGCTTTTATCTCGTTCTCTCTAGCACACACCATCCACTCAAATCAGCAAACAAGTGTACAGAAAGCTCAGAAATAAAACCTAAGTATCTATTCTACACTTAAATGACAATGTTTTTATTTCAGAGGAGGAAGTGTGATTTACATGGTGGCATAATTGACTCTTCATGTGGAAGAAAACAAAGCCAGACTCTACTTGATGTTCCGGTCAAAAAAATAAATTCAAAAGGGACCAAAGATGCAAACATTGAAGGAAAAAAAAAGAAAGCTTTTTAAAGATAATGGTGGAGATTATTTGTAAAACTTTAAGAGTGAAGGTGGAGATCATCT